GTGAGTTTATTACTTGTCCCCCCACCTGCTCAACTAGATATGAGCAAGGACTTCATTTTGTTCACTGCTGTATTGCCAGTACCTAGAAGAGTTCTGGCACATCGGACTTATTTATTGAATTAATTAATTTAGAGATTTGAATGACTAGAGCAGGGAAGCCAGATTGGAGCCCGCACAGTGTTTTCAGCACAATGCGAGGACACTTGGGAGTCTTGTCAGCGGAAGTGAAGGGGCAGAGGCAGGTGTAAGTGCACAGTCCTAGGGAGAACTGACAGGTTTTGACATGGTTTGTGGTATTAAGTCATTGGAAAGGGAAAAAGTAGAGCGATCTGAGCTTGGATGAGCTATAAGGAATCCAGAAGTTCCCGGATGTGGCAGGGAAAGAAACCGTTATAGAGCTGCCGAGTTTGAGTGCTGGCGGGGTGGGGGTATCCAGTGGGTAATTGGAATGTGACCTTATCCAGTGTCCCATTCACTGAACAGCATTGCTACAAAGGAAGCAAAGACCTCGGGCTCAGGGAAGTGTAGGAGGAAGTGACATTCCCCGCTTAGCTGTGGCATGGCTGTGGCAATTCATTGAACTTCTTTGAACCTCAGGTTCTTCATGTATAAAATGATAATAAAATACCTCATGGCAGAGTAGTTGTGAAAATTAAACTACAGAATGTAAAAGCATGGAACCAAGGCCTGATGCAGGGTTGTTTGTCAATGACTGAATTCCTTGTCTCCTTTCCCCCTTCTCTAAGAGTCTGAGGATTAAAAAATGTACTCTAATCCTGCAGTTTAAATTTTTGTTGTTTTTCTTTGCGAAGCAATGCATTTATTAAAAGAACAAACAATATCTCCAGGCTTATAATGAAAATAAGTAGCCCCTTCCTCACCCCACCCCTTTCCTCTCTCCTGAGGCTACTACTTTGACTCTCCTAGCTGTTTCTTCTAGAACTTATATATTTCAACATAACATGCTTATACTATTTCTTTTTTTTTTTTTAAAGATTTTTTATTGGGGAATTGGGGGAAGGGGAACAGACACATTGCTGTCCTTTTGTTCCTCAGTCTAGTTGTGGAGGACGTTGCTTCACTGGCCCAAGCTGGCACCATCATTGTGCTTTTCCCGGGCGAGGCAGATCAGTCGCCAGCTTCTGGACGGCCGCTCACGCTGGCTGCTGGCTGCTCACGCTGGCTGCTGGCTACACACAGTAGCCCATGGCAACCCACTGCAGCAGGGGCTGCAGCCTACACCGCCGCCGCCGGCGACTCATGGCAGCCCAGCTCCAGGTTGAACTGTTGTTCAGCATCTTAGCTGTAGAGGGCAGTGTTACTGGCCCTCATATGTGGGATCTGAACCGGGCCCTCTGGCGGCCCAAGCCAGCTCTTAACCAACGCGCCACTCGGTCGGCCCGCTTATACTATTTCTTTATTTTTCAATTTTAGATATTATTTAGATATCAAATTTAGATATTTTCATCTTCACACCAGGGAAGGTGAGGATTTAGTTTCCTTATTCTTCTAACCCCAAGGAGCCTCTTTTCTTCTCATGACATCAGAATTACACAATGCACTGTGATTCTGTTTTCTTTCTTGTACAAATTCTTTTTTTCTGCAGCTAATGTTATTTCTTAGAGGTTTTATTTGGTGTGTGGGGGGGTAGCAGTCACTCTTATTCTCAAACAACCCTCAAAATCTGAAACATTTCCTCTCAGTAATATCAAATCCAACATGTATTCTGTAAGTTTAATTTCTACCCTTGGAAATATCTTTGTGGCATCTTCTGGCTTCCTGCTCAAGTTTGGACTGTTGGCTCTGGAAGCCTGCTACATAGCCATGTGTCATGGGGAAGCCCTTGGTCTTTTTTTTGGTTTGGATCTCCTGTTCCCGGATCTTATTTTCTTTCTCATCATTTACCTTTTTCATTTTGCCAAGGCATATTCATCCTACAGCTTTCTGAGAAAGAGTGCACAGGAGGTAAATTCTTTGAGTCTTTGTAAAGCTTTGTTCCATTTTCCACATTTGATTGACATTTTGGTTGATTATAAGATTCTAGGTTGGAAATAATTTACCCTCGGCATTTTGATGACAGTGCCTCTTAATCTTCTAGTTTCTGGTGTTTTGTTAAGAAAACTGATGTCATTATGATCCCCTTGCTTTGCATGTGATTTTTTCCCCCATTTTGAAGTTCCTACACCTTTCTCTCTTTCCCTGGTATTTTGATATTCGCAGTTATACAGAGGGTGCCAAAAAAACCCGTATAAACATTTAACAAAAGAAAACTGTATTAAAATTGTAATACTCAATATGTACCAATAACAAAAGATGAATACAAGTCACATTTGACTTCTACAGTTACAAGAGGTGTTCAAAGTGGTTACCATCAGCATGCCGACACTTCTGATTATGGCGAACTGCTGCTTGAGCAACGTTGACCAAAGTGTCCGCTTGTATCGCTGCACATTCCATTTCAATTTCTTCCTGAAGTACCACCAGTGTACTGTGGTACACCCCATCCTTTAAGGTTCCCCATAGGTAGAAGTCAAGGGGTGTTAAGTCAGGAGAATGTTCTCAAATTTCAAATACCACTTCAAAATGGCGCAAGCTTCTTGAACGACACCCATGTTTCCACCATTTTCTTTGTCCTGCCTGTCGCATGGTGACACTAGCCTTCATTTGATTAACGCCATCTTTTGAGTGAATGTCGTACTATACATTGCTACCGTAATTCAATTCAACTTTGAAAAGTAATACATGGATAACATCTCTTAAAATGTGTATACTTTGTCATCCCCGGTATATTTTCGTGGCACTCTTTCTTTCCATGAGTTGTGCTTGGAGATTGATGAGCCTTTTCAGCCTGAGAACTCATCTTTCAATTCTTGGAAATGTTTTTGAATTATTTATTGACATTTCATTTCTTTATCCTCTCTTTTTGAAATTCCTTTTCAGGTATTGGACCTTCTGGTCTATCCTTCTGACTTCTTAAGTACTTTTCTCATTTTTCATCTGTCCTTTTTACTTTTTGTTTTTTAACTTTTCTTTTGCTCAATGCATTTGCCTAAGTTTTTCCTATGTTACTTTTTATTTGTTTTGGTCTCTGTCTTTCCTAGATTCTAAATGAAACAACCAGTAATCCTAGGTTGTCTATACTATTTAACAGTTAAGTACCAAGAAGCTGAATTGAAAACCTTCTGTGTATGAGTCACACTTGTCATTTGGAAGCCCTCACCATAAGGCAAGGACAAGTATTTGGCTTCTGTGTGTGTGTGTGTGTGTGTGTGTGTGTGTGTGTGTGTGTGTGTGGCGGGGGGGAGGGGTAGTGCTCTCAAGTATGGCTTTATTCTTACATTGTTTGGGTGGCTGGAATTATCCAGTCTCTTGCTTGGAGGACATCTGCTTGACTTCTTACATCCTGGGCACCTGTGGGTGATGGGAGCTTGTTATCTCACTGTTAGCATCAAAGGCTTCCACTTGAACCCCCTGTTTTTAGTGTGGAGCTTCCATCCAGCCCTAGGGTGAGCCTGATGCATCCAAGTCTGAAGTCCCTCTGGTTCAGCCTCTCTAGAGAGTAATATCCTGGTTTCTAAGGTTAGGGAGGAGGAACTTCCGATATAGGCAGGAATCTTGGGCTCCAGATCAGGAGTTGGCAAACTTTTCCCATAAAGGTCCAGAGATAAATATTGTAGACTTTGCGAGCTATATCATGGTCTCTATAAGATATTCTTTTCCTCCTCTTCTTTTTTTTTTCCTTTTTAAATCACCCTTTAAAATGTAAAATAAACATTCTTAGCTTTCAGACTGTACAAAAACGTGCTGTGGACCAGACAGGTCATAGACAAGAATCCTAGTCTAGAGAATTGTTTTGGACACTCTCAACTAACCATCTTTATTCCAGCCCCATCCACAGCCCTGCCTTCAGAAGAACATGCAGCCTCCAATTTCTGATCCTTTTTGGGTTTGATGACAACGCTGGGTGGTTTCTTATAGATGTCCCCCTACTCCAACAAACCTTCCCTCCCCCGCCCCCCGTGGAAGCTTAGGTTTCAGCTTTCACAAGTCTGCTAGGTGAGCAACTACTTGTCCATTTTCTTTCCATTTTCTAAAAAGTCAGTTTTTGACGTTTTTTGTTTTTGTTTTTGTTTTTGCCTGTCTTTTCTCGGTCCTTGTTGGGCCCTGCCTTTTTTTCTTCCTTTCCCCTCTGCTTACTGGGATTTGAGGAAGGAGTGGCGATAAATGCATGTGTTTAATCTACTAAGTTTAACCAGAAGCTCCCCCCAAATCCAATTTGGTTGGTTTTTATTTTTACTACTTTCTTTGATAGTGCTTGGGTTAATTTTGCATTTGTTCTTCATGTGCTCCCTTGCTACGCCAGATGTTCGAAGAAGATGTCCTTGGGGAGGAAAAATAAGGGGTTTTAAAATGTAGTGTTCTTGAAATGCTCACATTGGCTCAGTGTGTGAGATCTCAAAGAGGCCCGGTTGTTTCTAACCACCAGACTCTCATAATAGAAATACAGTTTCACCCTTATTTGTGTAAACCATCAGGAGCATTTTTAAATGTTTGTAATAAAGTTTGTGGCTTATTGTTTAAAATTGAATTTAAGGTAGTAAATCAAAGCTTTTGGTGGCATGCTCCTGACAGCAGGGAGAGCCTGGTAAGTGATCCCTAAGAGCTGATCAAAGGGAGTTGCTGAGCATTTTTCCTGTATTTGTGTTTGGTCCTTTAATCTGGTAGTGTTTCCAATTCCATTCTGAACACAGTAATGCACACTGCGCCCCCACTCCAGTCTTGGCAGCATCTGGCACCGTCTTTGCCAAATTACCCCTGTTCAGGCAGCAGCCTGCCTTTGCAATCAAGCCTATACAAGGTACGAACAATGGTGATTGTCAGGAAATGGGCATCGTTCAAGATATTATTCATACCACATTTTTGTTCTGGTAATCAAATGAAAATTGAAAATGAAAAAAATAAAACTAACTGAGAAATGACCACTAGTCATTTCTGCCTAGGTTCACCTTTCCTGGCCAGTGAAGATGGCGTGCTTGGAGGAGTGATTGTTCTCCGATCTTGCAGTTGTTCTGCAGAGCCTGCCTCCTCCCAAAATAAGCAGACACTTCTAGGTAAGCTGGACATGTACGTTATGTGTGTGTCTTTCTCTTTCATTTTTTCAAGATATGGAAAGATTTATATCCTTGAGTCAATAAGCTATGGGAGGGCCAGGATGCTCTGTTGACACCTAACCTTCTCTGTTCTACTGATCTTTTTGTGTAGGTAAACATCTAAAAGGTGAATGTTTATTTCTGCTTAGAGTATATCCTTAGAGCATATTTTTCAAATGGGCTTAGAACCTAGGACCTTCACTAAAGCCCAATGTTAAGACTATTGGACTTTGTAATTATCCCCTGCCTTATTCTACAAAACAGTTGAGGTGAAGCATAACAATATATACAGTAACAGAGAAAGCTTCTTCCTGTCCCTCCTCCCCAAAAGGAATCAGAACCATGTGAAGAACTACTGGCCTAGAAGTCCATCCCGGCTCCATCACTTATTAGCTGTGACGCCTTCATGCATCAGTCTTCCTGTTCAGTGCCACTTCCACATCTGTAGAATAAGGATGTCTTCCATGCTCTTCTCATCAAGCTTTGTTTTTGCAGATGTCCATCCAGATGTGTGATTTTTGTATCTAGCTGAGCACATCAGTGGGGATAGAATCCAGCCCACACTCCCATTTGCCAAGACCCAAACTTGCAGGGCTACCTCTGCCAATGGAGTGCCTTTTTCTAAATAATTCATCCAGAGGGGGCATTTAAAAAAATCTGCATAAAGGTGCCACAGAAACTAGCACATAAACATGTTGTTTTCTTTTTTTTAAAGATTTTATTGGGTACTTGGGGGAGGGGAATAGCACTGGGGGATCGAGGGAAGGGGAAGAGATGAGTTGCTGTCCTTTTGTTCTTCAGTCTAGTTGTGGAGGACGTCGCTTCACTGGCCCATGTTGGTATTATCTTTATGCTCTTCCCCGGTGAGGCAGTTGGTTGCCGGCCTCTGGACGGCCGCTCATGGCACTTCTTGGCAGCTCACGCCAGCTGCCAGCCACTCACGGTAGCTTATGGCAGCCCACTGCAGGAGGGGCTGCAGCCTATGCCGTCGCCGGTGACTCACGGCAGCCCAGCTCCAGGTCGAGCTGTTGTTCACCATCTTAGCTGTAGAGGGCAGTGTCACTGGNCAGTGTCACTGGCCCTCATGTGGGATCCGAACTGGGGCCCTGCTGCTCAGAGCTGGCGTCCCAAGCCAGCTCTTAACCAACGCGCCACTCGGCCGGCCTGCAATTTATTATATTTTGAGGGGTATTAAAAAGTCTTGTTTTTTAATTTATTTTGCCGTAATGTGTTCATTTTCATTGCTATATAGTATTTCATTGTATGGATGTACGAATGTGTTTTTATCCGTTCTTCTCTAAGTGATTTTTTTATAGAAGCACTATTGGTGATCCACAGGAGCTGTGGTAGTTCAACTCCTTGTATAAATTTCCTTATAGAAAGTGCGGGTGGTGTCAGATCTATATTGTGTGATTGTTGTGAATTGCTATAGTATAATTCCCTTCGTACCTTGAGGTTCTATGAGTCTATAAAATAAAAGACTGAGCATTTCCTATGACTGTAAAAAAGTATTTTTTACTACAGAAGTCCGAAGATCTTTCATGAAATCTTGCCCCTCATTCACCAAAGGAAAAACATGCACTTTTGTATAGAAGGCCTCTTTCTCTACCTAGACTCTGACCATGAACCTCATCATTCTCTTTCTGCCTGCCCATTACATACTTGGGACTGATGTTGCTCCAGGGAAATGTTTGTTTGTTTGTTTGTTTGTTTGTTTGTTTGTTTTTAAATGGCCACCTTTTGTAAGGCAAATTATCCATTTGCTTCTTCGGTATCTTAATCATTGTCGAATCCCTTGAGTATCTCCCACAGTTAGATAGCAGGGAGTTTGCTTTTAAATTATGCGAAGGATGTCCCTGGGCCTTTCAGAAGCACTCAGAATAATCCCTAGTACCAGGAGGTGCGGGGCAGTTACTAATACTGCTTCATGAACTGTTCCTAGCATGGCGGGTCAGTTTTTGACTGAGCCCGGACTCTCGCCATTTGACTTAATCCTGAGAATTTCAAGGTGTTTTCGGTGTAGTATGGAAATTCATATTTAAGGATAAGTTATAGGATTTTTAGCTCATGTTAAGTAGTTTTCATCACCAAGGTAGTAATTTGTAAACTGATTTCTACTCTTTTTCTCAAGAAGAGGGATGAAATGTAAAGTATCAATTTAGGAAATAAGGGAAATCATGCCATTTGTTAAAGTTAACTAGAGGGATTGATGTTTATATATATTCAGTATGTGGCAAGAAAGCAAACACAGTACAGAAGGATAGGAAAGGGGACATGAAAGTCACCTTCACCACCCCATTCTCAGAGCCACCAGTCTCTGGTTCTGGTTAATCTTGTGGAAAACACCTTCACTCTACAGAACGTGTTCATGCTTCTGTTTCTTGATTAGTCAGTAACTTGTGACTCCTTTTTGGTAAAAAGTTAAGAACATAGCTTACACAACTTCCCACTTCCCTTTCCTCCTGACTTTTGTTAGAATTCTATTCTAACTTGAAATCATACATTTTAATGTTATTGCAACTTTAACACACTTTTTTTTTAATTGAAATTTATTGGGGTGACAATGGTTAGTAAAATTACATAGGTTTCAAGTATACAATTCTGTAATACATCATCTATATATCACATTGCGTGCTCACCACCCAGAGTCAGTTCTCCTTCTGTCACCGTATATTTGACCCCCTTTACCTTCTTCTACCACCCTCCTCCCCTCCTTACCCTCTGGTAACCACTAAACTATTGTCTGTGTCTATGAGTTTTGTTTCTTCATTTGTTTCTCTTGTTCCTTTGTTGCCTTTATTTTTTTTTAAGATTTTATTGGGCAATTGGGGGAGGGGAACAGCGTTGGGGAAGGGGAACAGACAAGTTGCTGTCCTTTTGTTCTTCAGTCTATGTGTGGAGGACACTGCTTCACTGGCCCATGTTGGTACCATCATTGTGCTCTTCCTGGGTGAGGCAGTCGCTTGCCAGCTATTCGATGGCCGCTCATGGCGGCTCACGGCAGCTCATGCTGGCTGCCAGCCACTCATGGCAGCCCAGCTTCAGGTCGAACCATTGTTGACAATCTTAGCTGTGGAGGGCACAGCATAACTGGCCCATGTGGGAACCAAACCGGCAGCCCTGCTGCTCAGAGCGCATGCTCCCAAGCCAACTCTTAACCAACAGAGCCACTCAGCCAGCCCCTCCTTTGTTGCTTTTGATTCATCATTATTGTATAATCCTATGAACCATCCCTCATCTCTTAGACTATGTAAGTTTAGGAAAGTTCATGTGCTCTTCTCTTTTTTTCTTCTTCCCTCACTCCCAACCCTTACGTCAACCTCTAGCAGCCAAACCATTATTGTCATGGTTCTTAGCATTTGCATTCTTGTCTCTGTGATTAGAGGTTGATTCCCAACAGTGACAATTACTAACCAGCATTGACAGTTTCAAGATTGTGTAAATATTATCCACTGCAGATCCTAATAATGGAGGATTGTACCATTAGAAGGGAAGTGCCTCATAAACCTCTGCCTACCTATAGGAGACTATTTCAAACATCAAGTTCAAGTGGGTTCTCCTGTACTGTACCCCATCAACTGCCCCAAGTCAGGCCACAGTTTTATTTGCTTCATGTTGGAACCATGACTTCTTATTTATTGCTTTATAAAATTCACGAAACTAGAACTTCATAAAGTCATGGCGCCTTAATGCTTAGTAATATCTAGTAACCAGGAATGCTCAGAAGTCTTTCTTTCCTATACATCCAAATAAAACAAAATAACTCCCCAAATTAAAAAAAAAATTAACTACTGTATATTGTTCAATCACTTTTTTTGTCCCAAGAATAGTACAATCAAAACAATTTCTAACTTCAGCTTTTTGTGAATCTACTCTCCTTTTTGAAAATCGTAGTGTTTTCATTGCACCACAAAGGCAGTTTCAGTTAAACCCCATTGCCACTTGGATGAAGTGTCCTGAAAGCCATTGCTGAGCCACTCCTCCTGACAAATACGTCAATTACAAGAGCCCCAGTGGGCCACTTCATGGGTAGGATGACCCAACTACAGGCACTTTCAAGGTTGCTCTTTGTTTACTGATTCATGAATACAATTAGAGAATCTCAGGTATGAAGGAACTCTCAAAGGCCTCTTGTGTGACCTTGTTATATGTGCTTTGCCCATAAATTGTTTGCAAGCGGTAGCGCTTAATTCCTCTCCCCTTGAGATTCCCTTCTAATGCATAAAAATATGGCAAAGTGTCAGTGTGTGACTTCTGAGCCCAGGTAAAAAAAGGCCTTGTGGCTTCCTCCTTGTTCTCGCTGTTGGATCGCTCACTCTGAGAAAGTCCAATTGCCATGTCGTGAGGACACTCAAGCAGCACTGTGGAGAGGCCCATGAGGCAAAAAACTGTGACCTCTTTCCCACAACCAGTGAGGCACTGGGGCTTCCTGCCAATAGCCTCAGCTCTGAGTGAGCCTTCAGATGACTGCAGCCCTGGAAAGATTTCTTAACTGAAATTTCATGAGAAACCATGAGGAAGAACCACCCAATAAAGCCCTTCCTTTATTCCTTACCCACAGAAACTGAGATAGTAAATGTTGTTTTAAACCACTACATTTTGGGGTAATTTAGGCAGCAATAGATAACTAATAAACCTTTTAAATCCTCTCACTGCCAATTGGCCCTCTAGTTTGTCTCACAATCTACAATGACAAATCAAGGTGCTCTGTTACATCTTTAGGCAGCTCAGATTGCCAGACTTCGGTTTGCATTACTGGATCTTGGTTCTCTTCTTCGGAAACTCTGGGACAAATGTGATCAGTGCCTTCCTGCTTTGCAGGCTCTATTCACTCTTTTCCAGACTGCCTCCTTAGCCTTCCCACCTCTGTTTGTCTCCCACCTCCATGCTGCCACCAGACCTTTCTCTATAGAGAACCTAACTATGGACTGAAAAACAGGGGCAGTCAGGAGAGACGCAGA